AAACTAGCATTTTACTATTAGACCTTTGCATGTACATTTTTCCATAATAAAAATCTAAAGCCACCACAAAAAATCAATTTGAAGTGGCTCCCACTGGCCCAGAATGGGACAATATAAGCATCAAGAAGAAAAAAATGACTCCAACAGCTTGAAACATTAATATATCTAAACATTTAAGTTTATGACAAACACAAATTTAAAACATCATCATTCACTTTGTTTTTTAAAGATGTATTTGCTTCCTTGAAAGGCAGAGTTATGGCAGAAGAGGGGGTGAAAGAAAGTTATTTTCCAGCTGCTATTAAACTTCCCAAATGGCCACAACGGCCGGGAACGGGCCAGGCCAAAGACAGCAGCCAGGAACTTCATCAGGGTCTCCCTACATGAGTGCAGGGACCCAAGCACTTGGACTATCCTCTGCTGCTTTCCCAGGTCATTAGCAGGGAGCTGGATTTGAACTGGTGCCCATATGGGATGCCGGCATCACAGGCAGTGACTTTACCTGCTACACTACAGCGCCGGCCCCCATCAGTTACTATTAAAGGCGAAAAAGGAAGTCAGCTCATTATTCCAAAAGAAAAAGAAAATGACATTTATCCTATGTTTCCTATACTAACCCTAGTCTCCTGTTATCCCCAGGGACTATGTTCCAAGACCCCTCCAGTAGTTACTTGAAACCTTGGAGAGTACCAAACCCTACATATATGAAGTTTTTTCCTATACATACATATCTATATAAAAGTTTTTTTAAGAAGATTTTATTCGAGGGACCAGCGCTGTGATGCAGTGGGTTAACGCCCTGGCCTGCAGTGCTGGCATCCCATATGGGGATGTCCTTGGGCCCCTACACTCGCGTGGGAGACCCGGATGAAGCTCCTAGCTCCTGGCTTGGGATTGGTGCAGCTCCAGCCATTGTGGCCAATTGGGCAGTGAACCATCGATGGAAGATCTTTCTCTCTCTCTGCCTCTCCTCTGTGTAACTCTTTCAAATAAATAAATGAATCTTTAAAAAAAAATATTTTATTTGATAAGCAGAGTTATATATAGAGACAGAGATAGAAGGAGAGACAGGAGGAGAGTGGGGGGAGAGAGAAAGGGGAAGAGGGGAAGAGGGGGAGAGGGGGAGAGGGGGAGAGGGGGAGAGGGGGGGAGAGGGAGAGAGGGGGAGAGGGGGAGAGGGGGAGAGGGGGAGAGAGAGAGAGAGAGAGAGAGAGAGAGAGAGAGAATCTCTTCCCTCAGTTGGTTCACTCCCTAAATGGTCTCAACTGCTGGGGCTGGGCCAGGCTGAAGCCAGGAGCCCGGAATTTCATCTGGATCTCCCACATGGATTGTGGGGTTGTCCAAGCACTTGGGCCATCTTCTACTGCTTTCTCAGATGCATTGGCAGGGAGCTGGATGGGAGGTGAAGCAGCAAGGACTTGAACCAGCATCCATATGGGATACCAGCATTGCAGTCAGCGGCTTTTACCCACTGCCACGCCAACCCTCTATAATAGTTTATAAATTAGGCACAGTAAGAGATACCTAATAATGAAAGAACAATTTACAACAATGTATTAGAAAAGTTACATGAATGCCATCTCTCCCTTTCAAAAGATCTTACTGTACTGTACTCACTCTTCTTGTGATGATGTGAGATGACACAATGCCCACGTGATGAGATAATGTAAAAGGTGAATAATGTAGGCACTGCAGAGTTAGGCTGCTCCCCGAGAATTTCTTGAACGTAAGTACTATAATATTGTGGCAACTGAGCTGGTAACTAAGTGCCCAACCAGCAGCCAGGGGTGTGAATATAGTATGGATATGCTAGGCAAAGAGAGGATTCCTACTCCTGGTGGGATATAGTGGGAAAGAGCGAGAATCCAACATGCTACCCAGAACAACCCATGATTTATAGCTTGTGTATTGTTTATTTAAGGAATTTTCCATTTAATATTTGCAGACCATGGTTGATCATGAGTGACTGAAACTGCAGAAGGCAAAACTGCAGATAAGAGGGAACTACTGTATTTCAAGAGAATGAAACAGTTGACCGTGTTTCTTTTTAGAATTCCAACTAACAAATGGAGGAAAAATGAAATTTCAAAAATTACCACTTTGCAATCCTTAACAGATCCAGCCAATGATTGCCAACAGCTTCTGAAACCAACTTAGGAAAAGAGAGAACTCTATAAAAATGGACCAGTTCTTAACTTGTGTTATGTAAATTATCAAACATGCACAGGAACTCAGAGAATAGGACAGTGAATCCCCCTTACCCAGTTTCAACAACTATCAGCTTATGCCGGATACACGGCCATTTACCCCCCTCCCCAACTCCAAAATAGTCAATTATTTGAAAGCAAATCCCAAACATATCATTTCAGCCACAAATACTTCAGTACACACCTCTAAAATCCAGTTTCTGAACCTCAGCACGACTGACACTCTGGGTCGCATGATTAGTGGCCTCTGAGGTTGCCCCTATGCATTATAGGATGTTTAGCCCCATCCCTGGTGTCTACCTACTGCTTGCTGGCAGTAACCCCCCATTTCTGGGTGTGACGAGTGTGACAAGAGTGTCTCCAGACACTGTCCAATGTCCCCTGGGTAGTAAATACCCACTTTCCCACTGAGAATCACTGCTGTAAAAAGATAAAGTTTTGTTCTTGCACTGGTGTTTCCTACATAGTCAGCTCTCTGTATCCATGGGTTCCATTATCAGTGGACTGACATAAGCACCCAGTAAAAAAAAAATCTGGAAACATTGCATATGTAATGAACATACATAGACTCTTTTGGTCATTATTCTCAAAATAAGACAGTCTATCAATTATTTATATAGTATTTTCATTGCTATTGAAGTACATGGGATGAAATGTGTAGGTTATATGCAAATACAACCCATTTTATGCAAATCTTGAGCATTCTCATATTTTGCTATCTGAAGGTCCTGGAACCAATCCGCCACCCCTGTGGGTACCAAGGGGCAGCTGTCATTGGTAAATATAGTAGGCTGATCAGATCCACGTCTGAGTTTTTGGCAAGAAGAGCTCACAGAGAATGCTGAATATTTAACATTATACAGTGATAGAAATGACATCAGATGTCTACTAATGTGATGCAAATAGAAGTTCACATAATACTACCTATATTCTTATCAAATAAAAAAGGTTGACTCCAATCAAAACCTGGTGATTTGCCCACCAGTATATAGGAAACACGGGGAATGAAAGAATATGTTAAGCCACACAATGGGGACCAAATCAGCCAAATCCAGAATGCAGAAAATTATACAAGACCAACAATCCAATTTCTTCAATAAATAAAAACTCACAACTAGCACAAATTTTAACATATGGACCTCACTTGAATCCTGATTTAAACACATAAACAAAAAAAAATATGAGACATTTCATGAAAATCTTAATAGTCACCAAACATGAGATTATAATGCAGAGCAATTACATTATTTAGGGGCCAGCATTATAGTGTAGTGGGTTAAGCCACCACCTACAACACTGGCAACTCATGTGGGCACTGGTTTGAGTCCCAGCTTATCCACTTCCAATCCAGTTCCCTGCTAATGTGCCTAGGAAAGCAGTAAAGGATGGCCCAAGTGCTTGGGCTCCTGTACCCATGTCAGAGACCTGGAAGAAGCTCCTGGAGTCAGCCTAGCCTAAGCCTGGCCCAGCACTGGCCGTTGAGGCCATCTGGAGATGGAAGATATCTGTCTGTCTCTCCCTCCCTACCTCCCTCTCTGTAACTCTGCCTTTCAAATAAATAAATTTAAAAAAAAATTTTTTTATTATTTATTTGACAGATAGTTAGACAGTGAGAGAGAGAAACAGAGAGAAAGGTCTTCCTTCCATTGGTTCACCCCCCAAATGGCTGCTACGGCTGGCGCTGCGCCGATCCAAAGCCAGGTGCTTCCTCCTGGTCTCCCACGTGGGTGCAGGGCCCAAGCACTTGGGCCATCCTCCACTGCCTTCCCAGGCCACAGCAGAGAGCTATGGAAAAGGAGCAGCCAGGACTAGAACCCGGCGCCCATATGGAATGCCGGCGCCGCAGGTGAAGGATTAGCTAAGTGAGCCACGGCACTGGCCCCTAAAAAAATTTTTTTAAGGTTTAATGCTATGGTTTTTCTAAGTCTGCATACTCTATAGAGTATGCATACTGAAGCAATTATGGGTGCAATAATATCTGGTATTTGATTTAAAATAGTCGACTGGGAGTAGAGGAGGGGTGGAGAGCAGAAGTAAGGAGACTTATCATATACTGCTGTTGATGCTGGGTCATGGTACCTTGGGTTCACTGTATCATTCTCACTTCTATGTATGTCCATGATAAGTTAAACCAAATGAAACACTCTTGGATATGAAGAAGTATGGGTTGGAAAGCACTAGAAACCATTTAGGAGGCTCCTGCAGGAGTCTATGGGAGATGAGTGAGAGAGAGTGGAAACAGAAAAAAGTAGAATAGATGTTCGAGGGGAAATCAATTGGGCTTGGCCATTAATTGACTATGTAAAGTAAGAGAGGGAGGAGCCAAGGAGGCGGTTCAGATTTCTGGCTGAGCCTAGGGGTAGGGAGCACTGAGAAGGGGCAGATTGGAGAGGAAGGGTGTACCCTGACGTAGCTGTGGGGCCTGGCAGAGACGGCAGCTGCAACCAGGAGGGGAGAAGACACAGGATTAGAGAAGGCCAAGGAACAAAGAGTACCTGAGACAGAGCCAAGCTGTTCACCACACAGGAGACTGTGTGTGTATTATCTAGGCATAGACATGTACACACAGGAAAGCGGCAGACAGAGTAGGCAGGGGCAGGAGCAACAGGAGGTATGGGGTGGGAGATGTGTGTGTCTGCATGTTCATATGAGAGGGAGACTGACTCAACCTGATCCTCCTCCCTGGCCTGCTCTCCCCTTTCTCTAGCCACGGTCCGCACAGGGGCCCCAGATCATCTGATGCTCTCTGTAAAGCTGGGGAGACGCCCCTCCCCCACCATGGTTGACCCTTACCTTCAAATCCTCACACAGGTCACCGTAGTCGATCTCAATGAGGGCCTCTCGTGCGTAGATGCTGGACGTTCTCTGTGAACCACTCACTGAATCCTCCCCCTGGGAGCTACCCTGCAGAGGCGAGCAGAAGTGTCAAGTGGAGGAGACTGGCTGTTGAGAGCACCCCTCTACAGGGAGGCTGGGGCTCCTCTGCAGCCTTCAATGGCTCTGAGGAAGTGCCTCGCTAGAAAGCACTGTGGCAGAGGCACTGCAGGCAAAGACCGCACTTCAAAAGCAGCCTCTACCGCTTACGAACGGGGTGATCCTGGGCAAGTCAGGCTCTCAGACCCTGAGTCTCTTCATCTGTAATGCAGGGACGTTGCCTGCCTGGCAGGGCTGTGGTTAGGATTAGGGGTAATTATACCACATGCTTCTCAGATGTCCAGATCATTTCTGTTATTTGGTATTTTACCAAATCAAACTGACAGGCTATTTGGGAAAGGGAAGGGAGGAAGACAGAGTGTATACAAACAGCCTCTCAGCTAATACTCCCCTGCCCTCGCTGGTCATGGCTAAAATGCCTCTGCTTCTCCACTGGCTGGTGGCCCTCCCTTCCTAGAACTCAGCTTCCTCACCTCTGCATTGCTGATGGCCCTTACTCAACCCTCTCCTGGCCAACCTCCCTTACTGCAGCAGAGCTATCATCCCTCAGGCCCGCACTTCCCAGCTCCCGCCACTCTTGGCTCACGTCCCTCAGTTCTCACATCTACCAAGTTCCACCACCTGTGGAGCTACCGCAGGTCAGGTCCCTAAGGTTGATGCCGACTTCTGGCGGCTCTACCCCAAGTCAGCTAGCTTCCCTCTCACACCCAGGCTGCTCCCCTTGAGCTCACCTCGGCTCCTCTCTGCCGCATGCCCCTTTATGGCTCTCGCCCCCTCCTCACCACCTTCAGGCCCCCTCCCTGCTTAGTGCTGTTCATGGCGCACTACCACCAACAGCCACAGAACTCACCTCTTCCTGACTAATATCATCCATGGTGCCCTTCGACAGCGGCAGCTTGATATCCTGCATCTTGCAGGCCTGGAGCAAGTTGTGGCGGTCGCTGCGCTTCTGTTCCAGCTTGGTCTCGATGGCTGTCACCTCCTTTTGTAAATGGGTCATTTCCCTACAAAGGTCCGGGAGCTGGGTGAGACCCCAACCTAGCAGGCTGCCCGCTCTACCTCCTTCCTCCCACCCCAGGCCTCAACACACTCACTTGTTGGCGCCCCCAAGTTTCTTACGAATCTCCTCCATCTCGTGATTTTTGTCATTCACTTCCGACTTCTTGGCCAGGTGCTGGTTCTTCAGGTCTTGTAGCTGGGCCATGGTCTCATCTATGATCTTCATGTGTCTTTGCTCCTCCTGGTTCCCACAGGGGCGACAGGTCAAGGTGAGGGTTTTGCTCATCTCACCCGAGATCTTCTCCCGCCGCCCTCACCCTTCCTACCAGGCAGCCTGGGGAGCCACCGCACACCACCAACACCTCTCAGCCTTCTTTTACCTTTTTCTAACCTATTTGGTTGCCCTTTCCCACACACCCCAATTGTAAAGCTACCTTCTATAGAAAAGTCCAAAGTATTAAAAATATATAAAGTAGGGAGGAACAATCACTTGTAGTCCCACCAGAGAACTCATTAACATTCTAAGAATTTATTTTCTCCCAGCATTATTTATAGACAGCTATACATAGTTGAGACTAGATTGCAATTAAAATTCTATATTCTGAATTAATGTTATAGTTCAACATTTTTTCCACAGAGAAACTTCCTGCCATGTGCAGTATAACATTTGTCTTTTTAAAAACCCAAACAGCACTGTGTATTTTCTATGAGAACACATTTATGAATGTGCAAGTGTTTAGGTAAACCTGTAAAAGACCTGGAAGAACACACACTAACCTGGGATTGCCTCTGGAAAGACTAAAAGGACTGAAGTTAAGAATGGTCAGGCAAAAGGGAATGTGGCCTTACTTATAATACTGATTTTTTTTTTATTGACAGGCAGAGTTAGACAATGAGAGAGAGAGAGGTCTTCCTTCCATTGCTTCACCCCCTAAATGGCCGCTACAGCCAGCACGCTGCGCCGAGCTGAAGTCAGGAGCCAGGTGCTTCCTCCTGGTCTCCCATGCCAGTGCAGGGGCCCAAGCACTTGGGCCATCCTCCACTGCCTTCCCAGGCCACAGCAGAGAGCTGGACTGGAAGAGGTGCAAGCGGGACTAGAACCCAGCGCCCAAACGGGATGCTGGCACCACAGGTAGAGGATTAACCAAGTGAGCCACGGTGCCGGCCCCAATACTCTTGATTTTTTAAAAGGATATTGTGCATTTTGATCTTACAAAGTCACATATAGGGGACATATCTGTAACTTATTCTCAAATTGATCATAAAAATACTATGGGGGTGAGGCAGTGCTGTGGCGTAGTGGGTAAAGCCGCTGCCTGCAGTGCCGGCATCCCATAAGGGCGCTGATTTGAGTCCCAGCTGCTCCACTTCTGATCCAGCTCTCTGTTATGGCCTGGGAAAGCAACAGAAGATGGCCCAAGTCCTTGGGCCCCTGCACCCACGTAGGAGACCTGGAGGAAGCTCCTGGCTTCTGGCTTCAGATCGGCTCAGCTCTGGCAGTTGCGGCCAACTGGGGAGTGAACCAGCAGATGGAAGACCTCTCTCTCACTCTGCCTCTCCTTCTCTCTGTAACTCTTTGAAGTAAATAATAAAATCTTTAAAAAAAATACTACAGATATAGGGACAGTCCAAAAGCAACTATGGTAGCGCTTTGATGAATCCTGATAATGCGCAGCAAGTAAGAGTTCTTGGCACTGTTCTTGCAACTGTCTGCTCTATGGGAAATGTTCACTGAACCCTGTCACAGGATTCCACTACCCAATCTGCAATTCCATGTAGGACTGCAGTAAAACTTGGGGTGGGCATTTGGCCAAGCAGTTTAAGATGCTTGCATTGCCTATCACAGTGCCTGACTTCTGTATCTGCCTCTGGTTCCTGATACCAACTTCCTGCTATTGCAGATCCTGGGAGGCAGCTGATGATGGCTCAAGTGACTGGAATTCTAGGATCCCGGCTCTAACACAGCATCAGCCATTGCAGGGATCTGGGAAGTAAACCAGCAGATGAGAGCTCTCTTTGTCTGACTTCCTACCTCTCAAATAAAGATTTAAAAAAAAAGTTTGCAATGATACCAAAGAGGACAACAGTCATCCTGTGGTATTTGTGGGAAATTGATTCCACAACCCCATAAGCACCATGATCTGTGATGCTAGAGTTCCTTATATAAAATGGTATAGCATTTACACATAATCTTCTCACTTCCTATATAATTTATCAGTGGTGGGGAACATTTTTTCCTTTCAAGGGCCACGTGGATATTTATAACATCATTTGCGGGCCATACAAAATTATCAACTTAAAAGTTAGCTGTGAGGCCAGCATTGTGGCATAGCAGGTTAAGCCTCTGCCTGTGATGCCAGCATCCCAGAAGGGTACCGGTTCAAGTCCTGGCTGTTCCACTTCTAATCCAGCTTCCTGCTAATGCACCTGGGAAAGCAGCAGCAGATGGCCCAAGTGCTTGGGACCCTGCAACCCATGTGGGAGACCTGGAAAAAGCTCCTAGTCCTGGCTTCAGCCTGGTCCAGCCCTGGCCATTGCAACCATCTGAGGAGTGAACCAATGGATGGAAAATCTGTCTCTCCTCCTCTTTCTGTAACTCTTTCAAATAAAAAAAAATTTAAAGAAATTAGCCTGCTATAGGTTTATCAAAGTTTGAGTTCCACCTAGCATTGCCCTGGCAGGGCCAGAGCAAATGATTTCGTGGGCCTTATATGGCTTGCATGCCTGCTTCATATTTTTTGAGAGAGAGAGGCCTTCCATCCACTGGTTCACTCTCCAAATGGTCACAACGGCCAGGAGCTTCCTCCAGGTCTCTCATGTGGGTGCAAGGGCCCAAGGACTTGGGCCATCCTCTACTGCTTTCCCAGGCCACAGCAGAGAGCTGGATTGGAAGTGGAGCAGCTGGGACTCGGACTGGTGCCCATATGGGATGCTGGCACTGCAGGCAGAGGCTTCACCTGTTATGCCACAGCGCCAGCCCCAAAGGTTAATTTATTTGGAAGGCAGAGTTACAAAGAGAGAGAGCGACAGCGAGAGAGAGGGAGGAAGATACAGGAAGAGAGAGATCTTTATCTGCTGGTTCACTCCCCAAATGGCCACAAAGGTCAGAGCTAGGCCAATTCGAAGCCTGGAGCCAGAAGTTTCTTCCGGGTCTCCCAATATGGGTTCAGCAGCCTAAGCACTTGGGCCACGTTCCACTGCTTTCCCAAGCACATTAGCAGGGAGCTGGATCAGAAGTAGATCAGCCAGTATTCAAACTGGTGTCCACATGGAATGCTGGCACTACAGAGGCCTTACCCACTACACCACAATACCCCCTTCATACTTGCTTTAAATCATCCCTAGATTATTTATAATATCCAATCCAATGCAAATGCTATGTAAATAGTTGTAATACTGTACTACTTAGGAATAAAAAAAAATCTGTACATATTTTGGTGTAGGTATGACCACCATAATCCTAACTACACTTCCCATCTGCAGTTGATTTAATCTACAGATTCAGAATTCATGGATACAGAGGGTTGATAATACTTTAATCAGGAGTTAATGAAGAAAACACATAAACAAGCAGACAAAATTAACTAAAGGCAGACATAAAAGATTCAAATGATGGTCATGTTCAAGCCAACAGATCAAGTCACTTAACTAAATGCTGTAAGAGGTTTCACTGTAATTTAAAAAAAGTGAGAAAATTGAGTTATCACACACAATACATGCTGGCACAGGTAAGCAAAAATCAAAAGAACGTAGCTGTGCAGTGACTGGAGTTCAGAAAAAAATCATCATCTGCTGCACAGAATTTACACTGTGAACATTATACATATATATCTGAATTTATACTGTGCATATTATACATACATATCTATAATTTTATTTGAAAGGCAGAAAGAGACAAGAGACACAGAGATCTCTCACCCTCTGCAGGTCACTCCTCAAAGGCTTGCAAGAGCTAAGGCTGGGACCGGCTAAAGCCAGGAGTTGGGAACCCAATCTAGATTTCCTATGTAGGTGGCAGAGGACCAACCACTTGAGCCATCACCTGCTGCCTCCTAAGGCGTGCATTAGCAGGAACTCAGAATCAGCAGCAGAGCCAGGACTAGAACCCAGGCACTGGACATGGGTTATAAGCACCCAAGAGGTGTTTTAACTGCTACGCCAAACACCCGCCCCCATTTGCTATTTAATTTCTACGTTTATCTTGGCTTTTGGGTTTAAGTGTTTTAAGTATATATATTTCAGCCCTGTCAAGGATTTATTTTAGGGAATAGTTTTAGGGAATAGTTTTCCTTTTAAAAGTGGTCTGTGTATTATTACTAAAGGTTGAAGACCTCTAGATATCACAAATGTTAATATGTAACGAGCTTTTCTAAATTTCTACTTGCCAAGGGCACTGGATATTTTCCAAATGGGAACTATAAATAATGCTTGTAATAAACATCAAACTGTTTGCAGAAAGCTTTGCCAGTACGTTGGATTATCTCCTCAGGTAACACTGGGTTAGAGGGTTGCAACAAACCCTGAAGCCTCTTGACAGATGCTACCACATTGCATAAGAATGAATATTGGTCTCCTGTGCCACGGCTGGTGGTGAGTATTGTCCTTTTTGTTTTTAAATCTTAGTAAACAAACTATGTGACTGTTGCTTTATTTTGGATTGCTTTGATTTCTACTACGGTTACGTTATTTGAATATATTTATGGGCTATTTGAAGCTCTCCTTGAACTGTCTGTGCCACTTATCCATTGCCCCCTATTTAGATCTTGGTGTTTCTCTTGAGAGAATTATAAATTATGAACACTGTCTTTCTGTCCATCATATTTCTTCCAATTTTTCCTCCCAGTTTTTTGTCTTTCAATCTTCTCCTTCCTTACCTTCTTCAGCTTTTCTATCTCATTTTCATCCTTTTTCACTGTCTGCTCCCACATGTGGACTTTATCCTGGTCCTCCTTCAGTTGGTTCTTTTCAAAATCCAACTGGATACCCAAGCGAGTCTTCTGGTTCTCAAACTCCAAACTGTTGGGGGAAAAGGGAAACTAGGCCCAGGGCTCGGGACCCCAGAGTTACTCCTGAGTTCTAGTCACCACCCAGCTCATCCACAACTATAGACATAAAACTGCTCCCTAATGTTGGAGAGCTAAGTTTCTCAGCCTTGCCCTAGGGACATGACACAGGCCAGGGTGACTGGGCTAAAGCCCTTTAAACATTAGTGAGTACAGTACCCTTTCGAGTTCCTAGAAGTAGGCATTAAAAGGTCCATCTGGATCCACCAGCTGTGGCAATTACTCTTTATTTAGCTTCTAGGTACATATAGCATCTTTAATCCTCTCATCAGCAACTCCACAAGCAGGCATTATTATCCTAATTTTACAAAGGAGGAAACAGGCCCAGAGGTAAAAGACCTTGCCCAAGGCCTTAGTAAATGGTTACACGTGAGATCAGAACCCACATCTAACAGTAAAATCTGTGCTCTTCCTCATATTACCGCCACTGCACTATAATGTAGTGAGTTGAAACTGGTCTCTCCACACTGGCACTTAATAGTGGTGTGATCTCAGACAAGTTAGTTATCCTCTCTATGCCTCACAAATAGAAGAGTTATCAGGAGATTTATTTTTTAAACAAGTCAATTTGCATAAACTCCTTACTGCCATGACTGCCACACAGTAACTACTCAATAAATTGTAGTTATCATCGCCAGGTATATTACCTGTACTCAGCTCATCTTTGCCCAAGGGCTTTCTGTGCCTTAAGATTACAGAACCTCTTAGAGGGGAATTGCTTGGGAGTACAAAAACATGAGAAAAGACTAGGTTCTCACTATTGTCTTCCTCATCATCTCTCCAGAAACACAGGGTGCAAAACCAGCATACATAGACGCTAGCAGGCCAGGCAGGGCTAACTTCCAACTACCCCTCCACCCCCCAGTATGGTATGACAGCTGCTGCCAGATGTCATGCTAGCAGCTTAAACCTATTAGTCACTCTAATCCAAATGGAATGTAATTAACTGTAATTTTGAGCTATGCAATTTTAAGTCCAATCTCCTATGTGTGACTCATAAAGCCCTCTGTGATCTGGCCCCCGCTGACCTCTCCACCACCCCCGCCTTCCTCCTGACCCCGTTTTTATGCTCCAGACATTCAAAACTACTTAGTATCCAGAACAAGGCATGCTCTCTCACACCTCCAAGCATGCTGTTCTCACTGCCTGGAACTCCCTTCTTCTGTTGCTGCCCCGGCTGGCTAAATCCTACTCACTCTTCAGGCTTCGATTCCCCACTACTTGTTCTCCAAAACCTTCCCTGATGGTTGCAAGCAGTTTCCGCTGTTCTTTGTTAGTTTCCTCCCTTTCAGGAGCAGAGCTGAGTTTATCAAACCCCACAATTCATAATACACTTAACCAACGTCTGCACAAGACCCTTCCCTTGTCTACTGTTTCAATCCCTAATTCTTACTCCATTACCTTCCCTCCTGTGAACATGTACCCCAAAGCATCACACACACACACAAATGCGTATCTTGCAAAATGTCATAGTTTCAAGATTCACACAAATACACAGTACCACAAAGTTTAATCCTTTTTTTTTTTTTTCAGTAAATACCAGGTAACAATTTATTCATGTTACTGTGTTACTGCCTATAAATCTCGATCTTGCTTTGAACAGCTACACAGAATTTCATAGCCTGTATATTTACCATGTATAACCTACACTTTCTCCCACTGATGACCATCTACACTGTCACCAACATCACATAGCCACAAATTATGCCAAGAACAACAACTCTAAACATGTCTCTTTATGAGCCCGTGGCAAGGCTCTCTGGAACACATAGCCAGAGCACATTATGTCCACATAACACACAGGACATATGTAGACTTACTTTCACCAAATCCTGCTAGATTGATTTTAGTTTGTATTCCTCTGATGAAGAGATTGAACATAAATTCCTAACAACTGTTAGCCAGTGAAGCTTCTTTCCATGAAATGGTAACTACATCCTCTGCCCACTTTATTTTTTCAACTGGGTTTCTTGTCATTTTTATTTTTCCTCTTGTTGATTTGTAATTCCTTCAAAAATCTCCTCTGTATTCTCTATCTACCCCAATTACACCATCGGTCATCCTGTTTTGAAACTGTTGATCTATGGGTTTCTCCCAGTACTTGGTTAAATTCCCTGAGGAAAGAAACAACCACTATTTCAATTCTCTAACCCCTGAGCCTGGCTTGGGATAGGAGAGCAAGAAATATTTACTGTATGGGTAAAAGGCTATATGAACTGTTGACCGAGGCCCAGGGCCTAAGGAGGGTGACCATGCCATGTTTCTGTCCTACCCCATCTCCCCTCTCCCCTCCAATACCAAGTACAACCTGGCACAAGGTAGGTATTTATGACATGTTTGCTGAAGCAAGGAAGAAAGCAGTAGCTTGTCTAGTTGTGGCTATTCTTCCAATCTGGAACTTCTTTCCTCCGATCTCCCCACCCTCCCCACCCCCAGCACTGCCATCAGGAAAGTGACAATAAAACATAGCATTCATTGCTCCTAGCAGGTACTAAGTATTATGCAAAATACACTATGGATTATTTCATCTGATCTTCCCAATAATACCACAAGACTGGTCTCATTATTATCCCATCTTACAGAAACTGCAACATAGAAAGGTCAAAACAAGGTGAGCAGCTGAGATTTTAATGCAGGAAAACCAAGTTTTAAGCTGGCACCTCACTATACTAGGCTGCATTATCTCTCCGACCACCCTCTTCCTTAAGGCTTACCTCCTATAATAAACGCCCATAAATCTAAGAGCTGCTTCATGCTTTCTGATGGCATCTGAACTTCCCAAATGTCAGGCTGGGGGCTCAAGGCAACCCAGTACCTCTGCAGTACTCCCACCTACCGCTTCTTGGCGATCTCATTCTGCCGCTTCACCTTCTCTTCCTCAAATTCCCGGATGTTGCGCACACCAATCTCCCGACAAAACTCTTCGAACACCTCATCCTCTACCTGAGGAGAAAGCCAGAGGGCAGCAGTCTTTCCAGACGGAGTCGTGCTCCCAACCCTAGTCTCACCCCCTACCAACCTGGTTCATCTTCTCCTTCAAATCTTTCATCTCTCTCTCTCGGCTCTGGATGATCCTCTTGATGTCATTAATGCGAGGCCCAAAGTTAGCTAATTCACTCTCCAGCTTGGACTTTTCCTATGGGCAGTGGGTTGAGAACGAAAGAGAAAGGCTCCTTGGAGGCAAAGAGCTACCCTAACTGCACTCAGGAAGGGCGGAAAGGCATATGCTGAGAGAACCTGACCCTAGACAAGTCTCCACCCTCTCCTCCTGGAGCCACCACAGCGCTTCCCCGCTTGTCTCCATTAGGTCAACTTCAATCCACAGGCTGGGCACACAGTAAACATTAGTTATAGGTCAACAATCCCTTATCTCTAACTCCTGGGGCCAGCTATGTTTGAGAATTTGGACTTGAGTTTAGCAAAAGGTAAAATGATTTATATACTACATAGTATCTAACACCTCCAGGGTGGTCTGGGGAAATAAGAAAAAAAAATTATTTAGAACAGTATATCTACCCAAAGGGACAGATCCGCCTGCAATTCACTTTCAGAAGTTCACATATTTGCTGAATGAATAAATGAATGATACGAATAACATCTCCCATTGGCTGAACACCTAGAAGTGTAAGCACTTCACAGGCATTACTTCAATCATCACAACAACCATATAAAATAGGGACTATTCTATCTCCCATCTGACAGATAAAGATGAGAAAACGGACACTGAGAAACAACCTGCGTAATGCCATAACACGTTAGACGTCGCGATCTTATCCCCTGGCTGGCTGAGTCCATGCTATGCTCAGTTCCCTGAAGCAGGCTGGAAGGAGGCAAGGAAGTGCAGGAAGTTGTCATCCCCCAGAAAAACCTATGCTAGGACCCTGAGGATGGCTTTTGGAGGACAGGGCTGAAAGGCGGGCCCTACCTGCAGATTGAGGGCCAGATGTCTTGTCTTGGTCTGCTCTAGGTCACTCTGTGAGTACTTGAGCCGCATCTGCAGGCCATGGGCCTGAGACTGCACCTGGCGCAGCTCTGCCTCTTTCCGCTTTGCCTTCATTTGCTCCTGAAGGAGACAGGAAAGAAGGGCTAAGTGGTGAGAAGGTAGCCAACCTGGGCTTACGACGCCCTGACATTAAGGACCAGCACCACTGCCTGTGGCTTACTTTTAGCTCCTCTGTCAGCCGCTCCTTCTTCTCTTTCAGCTTATCCACTGCTTTCTCATCCCAGCGCCGTGCCTTGGCCTTCAGGTCACTGGCCCCACCAGAGATCACTCCTGACTTCTGGAACAGGGTCCCATCCAGTGCCACTGTCTACAAACCGTAAGGAGAATGGAGGAGAAGAGGGGAAAGAAGCTGAACACAGGGATCTCCGGGATTGAGCCTGTCCTGCTCGCACCTGGGGAAGAGAATTCACACCTTGTGGCGCTGGTGGCCTCCAAAGGCAATGCGGCGGGCGTCTTCCACGTTGTCACAGACAAGGGCATTACCGCACGCATACTGCAGGGCCTTTTTGATATGGGGTGGTTCGTAGCGAATCACATCAATCACGAGCTTGGCCCCCTTCAGCTCCCGGAGCTTCTCATCTGTTGGTTTCACCTGTTGGGAGAGGCCCAGTAAAGCGGCAGAACAGAGGGCAGAGAGGAGGGGCTCTCAAACACTGCCCCGACCTGACTCCCACCCTCACAAGCCTCACCTCCAGGTAGTCAAGAGGCAAGAAGGTCTCAGGCTCCCCACGCTGCTCCTTGATATACTGAATACAGTCCCGGCCCGTCTTCTCTGAGTCAACAATAATGGCATCCATGTTCTTGCCCAACACCTTGGTCACAGCAATCTGATACTTCTTCTGTGTGGGCTGGCAGAGGTCAATGAGGCGGCCGTACTGAGTAAAGGAGAAAGGCAACACTGAAGTGTGAGGCTTTCGGGAACTGGCTCACGAATCCCATTTTCCAGCCTGGACAGAAGGGCAGGCTAGAATTTGTATCAGAATCAGGGAATGCAGCTGGCAGTGCCTACTGGACAAGACAACCCATGAGGCCGGCACTGTGGCGTAACAGGTAAAGCTGCAGCCTGCAGTGTGCGCATCCCATATGGGTGCCAGTTTGAGTCCTGGCTGCTCCACTTCTGATCCAGCTCCCTGCTAGGCCCAGGGAAAGCAGTGGAAGATGGCCCAAGTTCTTGGGCCCCTGCAACTGTGTGAGAGACCTGGAGGAAGCTCCTGGCTCCTGGTTTCAGATGGGCCTAGCTCTGAAGTGAACCAGCAGATGGAAGACTTCTCTCTTTCTCTCTGCCTCTGCACTCAAATAAATAAATCTTTAAAAAAAAAGAAAAGAAAAGAAAAAGACTGCCCACTAACTGCAGCTTTGTAATCTTATCCTGTGCAAGTAGGAATGGTCTGAGCAGGCAGCACTGGCTAGACTCGCACTGCTGCCTGCAATCCACACCAGCGTAGCAGCCAATCTTAATGCCCTTGCCAAAAGCAGGAAGGTCTGGGTACGAGAAGGAGGGCAAAGGGAGGAAATGATGGGTTATGTAATGAAGGAAACCCACTATTACAAGAGTACCTCAAGGGAGGCGCCAAGCAAGAGATGATACTGTCTCCAGGCGCAATTATACCAGATAACTGACAGGGGAAAGCACAAGCAGGCTGAGACTACTGCTTCCAGAGCCCAACAAGATGGAATGGAAGCCTACAAATCTCATCCTGGGAGATTAACTACTAACGACCGAATGGGACTCCAGTAAGGAACCACTACCTTCTGACTTAACATCTATTTGGTCTTGACCTCAGTTTCTGAACTGAGGTCAAGAACTCCTAAAACCCTGGACTCTCTGGAGTGAACAGTGTCTTTTATATGCTAAGCAGATGACTGGTAGCTTCTAGACAGCTTAAAGACAGGAGCTCGTCACCACAAAAACGAAAGAATCATTAAAGGCTGGGACTTTCCGTCCCAGCTCCCAACCTCCAGGGAGGGGAGAGGGGTTGAAGGTTGAGCTGATTATCAGTGGCCAATGATTTGATAAATCACGCCTATATGATGAGACATTTATACAAAACCCAAAATTAGGTTTGAGGAACTTCTAGATAGGTGATCATGAGAAGATTCCTGGAGGGGGGCTTACCCAGAGAGGGCATAGAAGCTCCACATCCCTCCTCCCCTACCCTTGCCCTATTCATCTCTTCCAACTAGCTATTAATCTGTTCCCTTTGTATTCCTTTTAATAAAGGATAAACATTAAGTGAAGTGTTTCCCAAAGTTCTGAGACATTGTAGCAAATTCATTACCTCAGGAAGGGATCATGGGGTCTTCTCATAACTTACAGCAGACTGGCAAAACCACAGGCCACGACCTTGCAATTGGGGTGAAGTAGGGTAGTCTTGTGACCTATGGGATCTGAGACTGTCTCCAAGTAGATAGTGTCAGAACTGAATTGGAGGATACCTGGCTGGTTTAAGCTGAAGAAAGGTTTGGTGGGTGGGACACGATGCCAGATACCTTATATATTGGTACATGATCTCAGATTCAAAATTAATTTTTTACCAGTTCCCTTCTCCAATACCCCCAAATCAGGCCTAATTCCCTAGGAATGATCAGACAAAGGGTTAAGATCTTCAAGGGCAGGGACTGAGACTAATTCATACTTACCTCCCCAGCAGTGCCTACGGAAGTGAGAGAAAAATATGTGGAACCAAACTAAGTTGAATCATGACTGGGATAACATTCAAGAAACCCAGGAACTCAGGATTTGATGAAAAAGAGTCCAAGAGATCTAATAAAGGTCTAAAAGTCAATGGTCCCGCTGCTATATGCCAAGGGAGCTCAGAGACTGCATTTGGCTACTTTGCGGAGGGGAAGGAATAATTCCATCCTATGGCCCCTCCCCATTCCAAAGCCTCCCCTGCTTTCCCTACTCCCCTCAGAGGAGTAGACAAAGCAAGACAACCCTTCAGGAAGATGCGATTGGTCTGAGGCAAAGAACTGAGCTAGACCTGAATTACAGTTCTCCCAGCTCTCAGCCGGACTGCTTTGGGCAAGTCATTTAACCTTTCTGCATCTGTTTCTCCAGTTATAAAAGGAGATGAGCGAGCCTGTCCTCACGGGGCTGCTGGTAAAATCGTACGACAGGTGAACGTGAGAGTAAGTGCTCAGGACAGGAGTTCCCTTCCACTCTTACCACGGAGCCAGGGTAAAGGCGCTTGATGCTTTCCATTATCTCTGCCTTCCGTTGCTGGCGGCTGCTCTCCTGGCGGTCGATGCGGGCATCCCCTAGCTGCTCCATCACCTGGTTCAGCTCCTTATTGATCTCATCGATACGCCGCTTGGCCATCTCTACCTCCTCTGTCAGCTCCCCCTCTAGCTTCTTCTGCTCCTCTAGGGACTGTCTACGAAGACAGAGAACACAGCAGTTTAGCCTGGCTGGTCAGGTAACACCCCTGGCTGAGAGAGACTCTGTGGGTCCTACCTAAAGAGGGCCAGCACAGGCAGGGTCACAGGAACAGGCCTGGAAGGGGGGAAGCAGCAGAACTACATACTTGCTGGTGGTGATATATTCCTCTAGTTTCTCAATCCGCTTCTGATTCTCTTCAATCTCCCGCAGCTTCTGCTTAATCTTGGCCTGGGAAACAAATACATCCCATCACCAGGGGCTGAGCAAATAAACTCTAAGACCACGGGGCCCTGTCTTATACCCTGTATGCGCCAAGAACTCAACAATCTAAGACAATCTGTTACTAATGCAGGAGGCCTACTAAAAAGGATACAACAGATAGCAATCAGTGTTGTCTACTGACAAATGGGAACTTCCCAGGGCTCCAGAACTATGGAGGATCAAATCAGGGCAAAATAAAGCTTTGCAGGCCTTACTGCATCTGTTTTCTCATCTGTAAAGTGTGGGCATCACAGAATACCTGTTAAGTGCTTAGTACAGGGTAGCCATTAATACTAACGCCTGCCCCATTCTTTTAAATAAGGAAAAGAAGTGCTTGGCAGAATGCCTAGAACATTGTAGGCTCCTGGGGTGTCATAACAAGTTAGTATCTCTGTTATCATCCCACCTCTGTGCTGTCCTTTCATCGTTTGGAAAATGAGGATACCAGGAGTCATCCTCCCATAATGGCAGTCACAAATGAAGAATTAAATGAATCCATGTGCAGAACAGTGCCCGGCACACAGTAAGTGCTCAATAGATGCTAACTACTGTATCTGCATTCACAGTCTCATGACTTCCTCTCCTCAGGCCTCCATCCCCATTCTTGTGACTCATGCCCACCTCCGTCTCCACTTTCTTCCGTTCTTCCAGATCTAGACGGTCTTGATCAGCTTTCTGGTCTCGGTTAAACTTCTCCAACTCCTGGGCCAAGGTAGCTGCTCTCTTGCTGGCTTCCTCTTTCAACCGGTGGTATTTCTTCACCTGTGTCAGGGAGGGTAAAGGAGGACAGCCATGAGCACATTGGCGCAGCCGTCTCCTCCCCACTAAGCCCTCCAGGGCCTCACCTGATTCTCCTCTAGCGTCAAGTCTCTGCCCTGACTCTGACTCTCCTCTTCCATGCGCTCTTCAAACTCCTGCCGGGCCTTCTCCACGGACAGCATCTCCTTCTCCAGCTCGTCCATGTCCCCTTTACGCTTCTTGTAGTGCTTCTGAGCGTTCTGCAGAGACTTCTTGGCTGCCTCGAGCTTCTTGATTTTGTGGGACGTGTTCTCCTTGGCTTTGATGTACTGAGGGCGCTTCTGGTTCAGCTCCGAGTCCTTTTCCCTTTTGACAGAGGTCAGGGAGAACATCAGTGAGCACAGAAGACGGGAAGGTTCTTGGGCTTCTTACCCAAAGAAAGGGGGGACTGAACCCCCAGCCAGCTTCAGTGAATTGCCTCAAAGAACAAGGGCCCAACGCCTCACAGAGCCTCAAAAAACGGGCAGTAGCCAGACTACTCCCTGGAACCTCTGGCTTCAGCTCAGCATTCTAGCCAATTCATAAGGCAAACCTTCCACCCCTGCCTCAACCCCAGTCAGGCCAGGCCCCTCATCAACAACTCCCAAGAATACCCTGTGCTTGCTGAGTTGTGCCCCATCTGATCGAACCTTTCCAAAGCCTATGTCTGCTTTAGTTAACAAGGAAAACACTGATTTAAACGCTGCACATCCCATGCTTTTAACTGCTAGCTTCAGCATTCCTCTTGTAAGTGAGGCTTTCTTGGCCACTCCAGTGGCTAGGCCTCCCATCCTCCCTCCCTTTCCCTTGGCAAGGCCATCACCCCTTTCAAGTTCTCTCTCTTCTAAGTACCCTCCTACCCAGAGGCTGAGGACTTAAATATTCTATTTGTCTAAAATGCAAGTTAAGAAATGTGCCTGGTTCTGGCCAAAAGTCAGTCAAGGGGGAAATAGAGAAAACTAGTACAGGCACTGGCCTCTAGGCGCAGAGGAGCCCCAGGGAGCAGCACAGCGTCTGGCTCCCCGCCCTCCGCCCCCAGTTGCAGGCCCAGGGCTGCCTCTTACTTGATCTCCTTCTCGATCTGCTGCTGCTCCCGCATCATTTTGCCCAGCTCCTTCTTCTTCTCCTTCAGTTCGTCCTCTACTTTGTCCATACGCTTCTTGTCCTTCTCAATCTCTTTGTTCTTGGAGGCCAGTTCCTTGTTGAGCTTCTCGATTTCCACTTCGTTATGGTAAAGTTTGAAGAGCTGCAGCTGCACCTGAGCTCGCACCACCTCATCCTTCAGGCGCTGGTAGCGGTCAGCCTGTGCAGACAAGGCAGTGGGGCCCAGAGGGCATCAGGAAGGCACTGGCTCCAGCCTGACCCCTCAGAGCCGACAGGCAGGCTGGCTACCCACCTCTTCTTTCTCCTGTTTGGCCTCCTTGCGCTCAGCTGCGATGTTCTTCTTGCGATGGTAGTTAAACTGCGTGTCCTCCTCGGCCTTCACCATCTCCTTCTTTCGCTTATCATACTCCTGGGCCAGCTCTCCGGAACGACTGATCTCTTCAAATAGAGCTGTCCTCTCTTTAGGATTCTTCATGGCAATAGATTCGACAGCCCCCTGGTAAAGGTCAAGGCATTCTTCCAGTTAGATCCCAGCCAGCACAGTTCCCCCTACCCACTCCCACTCGTTCATTCAAAAAAGGTTCACTGACACACACTCTCACCCCACCCCCGGGCGCCACATTTCACACTGGGGTTTGAGGACACATTCCCTGCCTTCTGAAAACAGGGAGTAGGAGAAACAGATCCAGAGAGAACACAGCGTTTCATGAGCAGTGACAGAAACAGCACAGAGAAGGACTCAGTGAAGCTTGGGGGCAGGAGACTGGTAGGGATGTGTATCTGGGAAGGCTTCCCACAGGTGACATCTAAGCGGAGTTTGGAAGACAGAGGGAGACTAACCAAGAAAATGAGAAAAGGCTCATTCATATAGAGGAAAATCAGTAAGCAAAAGCCTGCGGGCCACAGGAAGAACATGAATTTGGGGAAGTGTAAATGGTTTGAGTAGGCTGCAGGGAGAGTACTGGCAGTTACAACTAGTAAAATGTGGGCCCAATCAAACGATGGTGTTTCCCAAACCCAGGCTTAGAAATTTGGATTTTCATCCTAAGGCAATGGTTCTCAAACACACGCAAGCATCATGATGCCCTGGAGAGCTTGTTACAAACACAAACCGCTATGCCCCACTCCACAGTCTCCTTCTGAGCAGGCAGGGCTGGGATGGGGCCTGACCGTGTGCGTGTCTCACATGTTCCAGGTGAGGCTGATAGTGCTGCTCTGCAGACTAATTCGAGAGGCACCATCACAAGGTAACACAGAATCACTGAGATGCCCTAAGGAAAGATGTGTGTACTCATGTGACAAACCTGGCCTAGGGAATGAACTGTTAGGGGACAGGTCGGAGTCAAGAAGCCCAGTGAGGAAGCTGCCATTCAGGGGAGAGATGATGAAACCTGAGATGGATGTGCCCGGCACTGTGGTGTAGTGGGCTAAGCCTCCGCCTGCGGCGCTGGCATCCCATACGGGTGCCAGTTGGAGTCCTGGCTGCTCCTCTTCTGATCCAGCTCTCTGCTATGGCCTAGGAAAGCAGTAGAAGATGGCCCAAGTGCTTGGGCCCCTGGACCCGCGTGGCAGACCCAGAAGAAGCTCCTGGTTCCGGATCAGCCCAGCTCCGGCTGTTGCGGCCACTTGGGGAGTGAACCAACGGGTAGAAGAACTCTCTGTCTTTCCCTCTCTCTCTCTCTCTCTGTAATGCTGCCTCGCAAATAAATAAATCAATCTTAAATTCACCATTTTACATAATGTTTCAATAAAGAGTTTAAGCACTGTGAAAAAAAAACTTAAAACACAAAAAACCATGAGATGGAGCAGACCCAGTGGGGATGCGATACAGGCTGACAAAAAGACAATCAATAACTACTTAAATACCTACCTGGAAGACGAGGAAGTTGCGAGCTTTGATGAGGATACCCAACTTCTCTAATTCTTCACTGTACTCATGCAGCTGGACCACTTTATTGTTGATCTTGTACTCAGAGGAACCCCCTACAAGACAATGCAGGAGTTGAAAGCGAGGGCCACACTGTTCTACTACCCCAGTTAACTAGTCCAGCCACCTCCCCGGACCCAAAGAGCCTAACTGGCCAGCCTCACCCACCTACAATGACGCGGGCAAAGGTGCGGTCCTCAGCACCATCCTCAGAGTACACCATGCTGACAAAGGCCCGGTTGGCAGCAGGCTTGCCCACAGGAGCTCCATGGATCAGGTCCCGGAGGGTCTTAACCCGCAGGTTGCTGGTTTTTTCACCCAGCACGAAGCTGATAGCATCCATGAGGTTTGACTTACCTAAGGGAGGAAAGAACACAGCAAAAGGGGAAAGTCAGGAAGAAAGGGAGAGGAAACGGGATAAAGGAGATATTGAGCGGAGCAGCAATGTCCCCTAATCACTCAGGGCTCAGACTAATGGGAGAATAGTCTTCTGCCCCCATAAACTGGGCCCAACCAAAGCTCTGGGTCACAGGAGAATCAGTCCCTTGCAGTTATGACTAACAGCAGCCAGAAACTAGAACCCTATCTAAAAAGAAAATGTTACATTCATGGAACAGATTGTTCTACAACCTGTAACAACACAGGCAAAGGCCCACACACGGTGAAACAAGCAAGATAAAAAAGTCAATCCAGTTTGATCTCCACCATGTTAAAAACAAAAACAGGGGGCCAGCCTCATGGTGCAGATGAAGCCACTGCCTGCAACACTGACATCCCATATGAATGACAGTTGGAGTCCTGTCTGTTCCACTTCCAACCCAGCTCCCTGCTAGTGTGCTTGCGAAAGCAGAGAGGGTGGCCCAAGTACTTAGGCTCCTGCCACCAATGTGCGAGACCCAGATAGAGTTCCGGACTCCTAGCTTTGGCCTGGCCCATTCCTGGCTGCTTCAGTTATTTGGGGAGGGAACCAATGGATGAAAGATCTTTCTCTCCCTCTCTCTAATTCTGCCCTTCAAATAAACAAACCTTTCTTTCAAAATATGTATTTATTTGAAAGGCAGAGTTGCAGAGGCAGAGAGAGATTTCTCATCTGCTGGTTCACTCCCCAAATGGCCTTAAGAGCCAAAGCTGGGCCAATCCAAAGCCAGGAGCTTCTTTTGGGTCTCTCACATAGGTGCAAGGGCCAAAGTACTTGGGCCGTCCTCCACTGCCTTCCCTGGTGCATTAGCAGGGAGCTAGATCGGAAGTAGAGCAGCTGGGATTCAAAGTGGTGCCCATATTGGCGCCGCAAGTTATCCACTATGCCATATCGCTAGCCCAACAAATAAATAAATCTTACACACACACACACACATACACACACAGAAAACAGGGGCTTGAGTAAGGGAGAAATGGGATTTGTTTTTTAATGAGTATAGAATTTCAGTTTCACAGCCAGCACTGTGGCATGGCAGGTAAAGCCACTGCCTGCAGTGCCAGCATCCCATATGGATGCCAGTTCGAGTCCCAGTTGCTCCACTTCTGATCCAGCTCTCTGCAATAGCCTGGGAAAGCAGTAGAGGATGGCCCAAGTCCTTGGGCCCCTGCACCTATGTGGGAGATCCGGAAGAAGCTCCTGGCTCCTGGCTTCAGATGGGTGCAGCTCCAGTCGTTGCAGCCATATGGATGCAAGACCTCTTCCTGTGTCTCCACCTCTATTAACTCTCTTTCGAATAAAATAAATCTCAGAAAAAGATATAAAAACATACACCATAAATACCAGACAGAAAAAAATGTTAATGTGTACAAAGAGTCTACCAGGTGCCAGAGAGGAAGAGCTAACTCACTGAAGGGGAATCGAAGAATCCCTTGTAGAAATGAAGACGGGAAGGGTGGGGGGGGCAGTCAGGCCAAGGGCCTTTTTGGATCAGCAAAGTATACATATTAACCAATGCTAAGGGACCAAAGGCCAAGACGCACATCCTGGCTCTTTCCAAAGGGGCCACTACACCAAAACCCTACGAGCCCTAATCATTAGCCCTTTAGGCCAGTGGTTTTCGAACAAGGGCTTCTGGCAATGTCTGGAAACATTTACCTGGGGAGAGAGGGTGCTACTGGTCATCTAGCGAGCATTAGCCAGGGATGCTGCTAAGTATCCCACAATACACAGGAGTGAGACCAAAGCCAAGAATTATCTCGCTGCAAGCGTCACTGTTGAGAACCTCTACAGGAAGCTGAGAGCCAACGGCAGCCAAGCCTCCAGGTTAGGTTGGGGATTCAGTATGAGCTACTCCGGCAAGGGCAGCCTCTCAGGCTAGAAAGCGATCCAGCTAAAATTATCTTATTTTTCTCCTCCTTCCTTCTGTCCTTCCAGAACAGAAGCTGAGAGCACGGACTTGATGTGCTCTCCGCTGTTTCTGCACCCTGAACTTAAAACAGTAAGCATTCAAGAAATGTGGTGAGCCAATGAGTTCACGGCTTTTAAGGGCTTTGGTGACAGGAAAGGGAGCGGGTTCGAGGCAACCACCTCTGAGATGGGGGTCAGGACCCCAGGCATAAAGACTCGAACGCTGGATCCGAAATTCGTAAGTGCCGCCCTGGGAGAAGCGTAAAAAGGAATTGGAGCGTACCAATGCAAGGCGGGAGGAGGCGCCGGGCGGAAGCATAACTGTATCGTTCGAGGCCAGAGCCACGGGAAAGCTACCAACCGACCCATATTTTCCGGAAGGGTTCAACAAGGCTGGGAAGCGGAAACCAGCCAGTAAGGCTGAGAAGGGCGCGACGCGCAAGCTGGCAGCTGGGTCCGGTCGCGCCCCTTTTGGCGGGAGGGGGTAGTGGGCGGAGTAATTACAGTGCGGCCCGTACCACTCCGACCGGAGCGGGGGCCACGAAGAACTCAGACAAGAGGTTCGAGGGAGAGCCCCCGAGTGGGGACAGCTAACCAGAATCGGCCCCCACCACCACCCAGGAGTGCCAAGGGACCCTTTAGGGTTCGCAAAGGTTCGGGTAGTATGGGCTGGGTTTCGGGACGTAAGCAGGGCCATCGCTGGGTTTATCTCACCAGAGCCATTGGGTCCAATGATGGCGGTGAACCTCTGAAATGGTCCGATAATCTGTCGACCTTTGTACGATTTAAAGTTCTCGATCTCAATCAATTTCAGGAACCCCATAAGGGCGGCGTCGCCGGCGGCGGTAAAAGAAGCCCCCGCGGTACGCCGGAGAACTGAGCTTGCCCGCGCGGGAAACGCCGCAGTGCAGGCCGGGCGGATGGGAAATTTCGCGAGACTAAAGACGAGTCAACGAGATTTCAGACTTCCGGTGAGAACCGGAACCAGCGGCGGGAACTTCCGTCTGGCGGGGAGGTTTGTTGATCTGTTGCTAGGGTGCTAGTCTGCCTGCCCCTTATTGTTGCGTGTGGCTGCACCAAACCACAGCTAAGGCAAAGTTACCAGTAGAGAGGTTGCTTGGAGGATTCACAGCAGCTTTTGGGACCCGAACAGGCAGGCGGGATCCGTGCCCACGCTTGCTGACACAAGTCAGAAGTCACAGCAAGGTTATGCCCTTGGGAGCAAGTGGAAGGTGGGAATTTAGCTGTGGCTTTTAGCCTAGTCGGCGTGAAGGCCCGGACAAGGACAGGGTTGGGAACTGGCGGGAGCCTGCAGAGCAGAGGGCTGCGTAGGAAGGAGGGGCCAGCGGGAGGATTCAGTATTAGGTGAGCTTAGACCTTGTTGATGGTGATGTATTAGACATGGGATGAAATGTGAAGGAGGGTGGGGGGAGGCTATAGTCTGAGTTACTGCCCCTATTCCCAGCCCCTCTCTCTTGTTCCTCCAAACAGACCTCAGAGACTGCTGAAATGCAACCTAGGAGCTTCAAAATCTGGATTCCTTACTGAGGAAGGTGTTTGCGTGATCCCCAGGAGTTGGGGTCCTTAAGCCAGCGTTCTCCACCTCCATACTTCTTCCCTTCTCCCCACTCCATCTAACTTTGCCTTCACTCCATTCCCGCCGCTCCATAAACCTCTGCCATTTTCCTTTGCTTCCCCCCCCTTTCCTTTTTTTTTTTTTTTTTTTTGACAGGCACAGGCAGAGTTAGAAAGAGACAGAGAGAAAGGTCTTCCTTCCTTTGGTTCACCCCCCAAATGGCCACTACAGCCAGCGCGCTGCGCCAATTCGAAGCCAGGAGCCAGGTGCTTCCTCCTGGACTCCCATGCAGGTGCAAGGCCCAAGCACTTGCACCATCCTCCACTGCCTTCCCAGGTCACAGCAGAGAACTGGACTGGAAGAGGAGCAACCGGGACAGGATCCGGCGCCCCAACTGGGACTAGAACCCGGAGTACTGGCGCCACAGGCAGGAGAATTAGCCTAGTGAGCTGCAGCGCCAGCCTCCCCCCTTTCCTCTTCCCTCAATGCCCTCCATTCTCCTCCTCCTGTGTACCCCTGTCCCTCTAAATTCTGCTCCCACCTTTCTCTATTCCTGACCTCCATCCTCTCATCCCCCTGTTATCACCTCCTATCTGCTCTTTACTAAGGTCATGGCCTTAACGATCCAAGCAGCTTAAAATGGCTGCTGAATCTTCTTCCGTGACCTTATATTGTGGTAGCAGTTGGAACCAGTAGGCGGGGGTTGATGCCATTCTCAGACTTAAACTGATGGTTGTCATGTTTCATTCCTGTCACTGTTTTTTAAAAAAATGATGTCTGAAGGCTGAGGTTCCAAACCCTGCATTCCCAACAGCTTATAAAAACAAAGGTTTATTTCTTAGGCTTCTTGTACTGTGAGTTGGCTACATCTCTGCTCTATGTCATCATTCCAGGACTCAAGCTGAAAGAATAGCCCTCATCTGGGACTTTGCCAGTCTCATTCATGGCAGAGAGTGAAGAGAAAAAGTGGCCATCATTTAATAGCCTTAGTTTGCTTTGAGAGTAGCACGGGTCAGTCCTCCTCATGTGGCAGAGGAGGTCAGCAAATCACATGGCTGACCTCCAGGACAATAAGATAGGGGTGCATAATCCCATGGGGAGTAGCAGCCAGTATTTTTGAACAGCAATGAAATTGACCATGCCATCTGTATGCTAACAGGGGATATGCAAAAGACCCCTCAAACTCTGCATGTTTCAAACTCACCTCCTAATCCTACCCCCAAGCCCATGTGTGTTCTCCACCCAGACTATTCACTTGATGATTTGGGCTCAGGCTCAAATCCTTGAAGTCATTCTGGATACTTCTCACAATGCACATCACATCTGTCAGGAAGTCCAGTCAGCTCTGCCTTCAAAGTATATCTAGAATCTGACCCGTTCTCACCACCTCTGCTGCTGCTAGCTGGTAGGAGTCACATTCATCTTTTGCATGGGCAACTCTGCAACAGCCCTCTGACTGGTCTACTTCTAGCCTTGCCCGACCTTTCTCTCCAGTCTATTAAAAAAAGATTTATTTATTTATTTGGAAATCAGAGTTACACAGAGAGAGAGAAAGGTCTTCCATCCATTGGTTCACTTCCCAGTTGGCTGCACCGGCAGGAGATGCGCCAATCCAAAACCAGGAGCCAGAAGCTTATTCCAGGTCTCCCACATGGGTGCAGGGGCCCAAGGACTTGGGCCATCTTCCACTGCTTTCCCAGGCCATAGCAGACAGCTTGATTGGAAGTGGAGCAGCCAAGTCTCAAACTGGCGCCCATATGGGATGCTGGCACTGCAGGCAGCAGCTTTACCTGCTATGCCACAGTGCCGGCCCCAACTTTTGACTTTTAAAAGATAACTTTGCTATGTTAAGAATAGATGGGAGGGGCTGGTGCTGTGGTGTAGCGGGTAAGGCCGCTGCCTGCAGTGCCGGCATCCCATATGGGCGCCAGTTCAAGACCCGGCTGCTCCACTTCCAATCCAGCTCTCTGCTATGGCCTGGGAAAGCAGTGGAAGATGGGTCAAGTCCTTGGGCCCCTGTGCCCACATGGGAGAACTGGAAGAAGCTCCTGGTTCCTGGCTTCGGATCGGCACAGCTCTGGCCGTTGTGGCCAATTGGGGAGTGAACCAGCAGATGGAAGACCTCTCTCTCTCTGCCTCTCCTCTCTGTGTGTAACTGTGACTTTCAAATAAAATAAATAAATCTTTAAAAAAAAAAGTCAAAAGTCAGAAAGCCGGCATTGTGGCACATCAGATTATACTGCTGCCCGCAATGCGGGCATGCCACATGGATGCTGGTTTCAGTCCCAGCTGCTCCAGTTCCTATCCAGCTCCCTGTTAATGGCCTGAGAGAGCAGCGGAAGATGGCTCAAGTCCTTGGGTTCCTGCACCCATGTAGGAGACCCAAATGGAGTTCCAGGCCCCTGGCTTCAGCCTGGCCCAGTTTTGGCCTTTGCAGCTATTTGGGGAGTTAACCAGTTGATCCAAGATCTCTCTATGTGCGTCTCCCCCTCTCTCTCGGTAACTCTGCCTTTTTTTAAAAAAAGATTTATTTTATTTACTTGAAAGACAGAGTTACACAGAGAGGTAGAGACAGAGAGAGAGGTCCTCCATCTGCTGGTTCACTCCCCAGATGGCCGCAATGGTGGAAGCTGCGCCGATCTGAAGCCAGGAGCCAGGAGCTTCTTCCGAGTCTCCTACACGGGTGCAGGGGCCCAAGGACTTGGGCCATAGCAGAGAGCTGGATCAGAAGAGGAACAGCCGGGACTAGAACCGGCGCCCATATGGGATGCCATCACTTCAGGCCAGGGCTTTAACCCGCTGCGCCACAGCGCCAGCCCCTCTGCCTTTCAAATACATAAAAATAAGTTGTAAAAAAAAAAGTCAAAAGGCAGACCACATCAGTCCACTGCTCAAAACCTTCCAACAGCTGCTCATTTTCTCAGTTAAAGCCAAAGGCTTTATAATATAAACTGCATGGTCTGGTGCCCCGTCATCTTTCTGACGTCATTCCTCCCCACCTGTCTTTCACTCGGTCTCACCAACCACACTTGCCTGGTGCTGAGGCCTTTGTGCTTGCTGTTCATTCTGCCTGGAATGCTTTCCTCCCAGATATTTGCATGGGTGATCCCCTCGCCTTCTCAGCCATGGTGCTTCTCATTTCCATAAATTGCAACACTCCTCCATCTCCTTGGTGCTGGCTCACTCGCTCTCTCCCTCTCTCCCTCCCTCTCTCCCTCCATATATATATATATATATATTCTATATTTTCCTATATCACTTATCATCTTACAAACTAACATACATTTTTGTTTTACTCTTTATTATCTGTCTGCCTCCACTAAAAAGCAACCTCCAAAAGAATTTGGATTTTTGGCAGTTTTGTTCTTTGTGGTCTCCCAAAGGCTTACAGAAGTGTCTAGCCACTAGTAGACACTCCACAGGTATTTGTTAAATGGTGGTGCAGTGAACATTGAATGAGAAAAGCACGGTGCAGAAGAATATGTACAGCCTGATAATTTATTAAAATAAAAAAAAATTTAAATATTGTCTAGAGATCCATACGTATACTCAGAATATTAATGAACACAATGGAATGGTAACACATTTTGGCTGGTGTCTGGGGTACTCTTGGAGAAATGGCTCATTACTTGCGGCGGATAGAAGATACCTCTCTCGCGTGCTTTCTCTCTGCCTCTGGAGAGTTGGTTCATGGGTCTCTATTTTCATGCTTCCTAACTGACATATGGGTTGTATGTATTTTCCTGTGTGTATCAACTACTTGATAGTCACAAAATGGTTTCAAAAGCAAACAAACACACCAGAATAGCTATGGAAGGAGTTGAGGAATGATGTTGCAAACACAGAAACACCACATAGAAAGGCCCTGAGGTGGGAACAGTTTTGCTGTGTCCCTGGGCTTGGTAGGAGGCCCCTGTGCCTGGGGCACTAGAGACAAGGTAGATAGTGGCATGAGAAATCAAAGGAACTGGATCTTGAAAGTCCACAGTGAAGAGTTGGGCTCTTATTCTAAGTTCAATGAAAGACTTTAAGTAGGTAAGAGATATCATCAGATTTGTTTGCAGAGTTTCTTCTGGCTGCAGCTTTGGCTGGCTCACAATGCCACAAGTGAGCTTCTGAAAACCTGAAGGAACAAAGGTAGATATAAACACTCTATCCTTTCGTTCCACTAGAAAATAAGTCACAAAAGTACAGGGTTGGGGGAATTGATTAGAGAAAAGAGAGCTGCTTCTGGTTTCTGTGTGATGAGCAGGCTATAAAGAAGACAACAGAGAGAGCAGGAAAAGCAATGTGGAGACTCTTGTAGTCACTCAGGAAGGTGATAATGGGGGCTTGAAGGAAGAGGGAGCAAGAGGAAGAATTCAAGGATGCTTCCGGGATTTGGGGCCTGAGCAACTAGGTTAATGGTGATGTCATTTACTGACACGAGGAAAACTCATTAGATCATAATGAAAAGGGGGAAGTGCTATCTGTGCTTTTGAGGCCTAGAAAAGTGAGCAGGGCTCAGATGATGAAGAACCTTATAGATCCAGTAATGGGGAACTGGACCCCGCCTTGTAAGCACCATGGAGCCGTTTACTCGAAAGCTGCTTTTGAAGGTTTTAAGCTGCGGAATGGCACAGTCAGGTTTGCTTTCGGAAAGATCACTCAGGTAGCCTAGCTCAGATAAAGCCAGTGCAGAGAGGGTGACCATGGGGCAAGGAAGGCCAGTGAGGCTCTGGGAATGTTGCATGATACCACTGTGAGGCCTGAATTAGGGTGGTGATGACAGGGATGGAAAACAGAGATACGAAGTATGCTGGAAAATCAAATCACTAGGAAGCGGTAGGGTGAGGAATAGAGGGTGGAGTATACTCAAGGCTGGGGGCTTGCACTGATGGGCCATTCTACTTCCCCTTTTCTCCAGATGTTTAAATTAGACTTCCCATCCGATCCCAAGGAAGTGGCAGCCATTGAGGCCAGAAGAAATAGAGAAAAAGAGCGACAAAGCCGATTCTTCAATGTGCGGAACCGAGTCATAGGGGTAAGTGGGCAGTAGGGCCACTTCATCTTCTACCCGGAGAGGAATGCAACAGCGCCTGTCATAGCCCTTTCCCTGATTCAAACAGGCCCTAGGGCTGGAACGGAAGGAGATGGGGAGAAGGCATCACCACCCCTACCCCAGGCCCAGGGCCTGGTATAGCACAAGAGCCTGGGGATGGCAACTGACTCTTCCCAGGTTAGCTCTGGGCTGTGTAGCCTGGGTTTGAGCCAAAAGAGGCCTGAAGAATATTCAGTATTGTATATGCCTGAGCCAGCTCTTTAAGGCTACATAAAAAACTGTTTACCAGGCTGAGGTACACTAAACAGTATTTCCTGTTGTACTATTTGGAAATGTTTTAAATGAATCACGATCAAAAAATAAAGACAAAATACCAATAATGTAAGAAACAAACTAAAAGATGGCTGGGCGGGTGGATAGAGGAGGATTCAGCATGGGATCTTCTGGAAAAACCACCATACCCCTGTTCAAAGCCAGGTCTGCTGTTGGATAGATGTGACTTTGGATAAGTCACCCGCCGTCTCTGAGCTCCAGGCTCCTCCTCTGTACAAGGAGGTAAAATAAAGGAAGTGTAGCAATGAGTCTTAACAAGGTGCACTCCTCAGGGTTTGCTCTGTGCTGACCACTGTGTTGGGCAGTGGGGATACAAAGATGAATAAGGCCTGGTCCCTGCCCTGAAAGGGCTCTCCGCCTGGCAGAGAGGCAAACTAGCATCATGTGGACAAGGGGGTTCTAGGCTGTATGGCAGTAGATCCTGCCTGAGGGGGGAGGGGTGGTCAGTGAGGTGAGCCTGAGCTGGTCATGAAAGAAAACTGGAGTTTGGGTAAAGAGAGAAGGAAATGGTGTCAAGTAGAGGGAGCAGTCTGAGCAAAGACTATAGGTTGGCAATAGCCTAAAATGTGCCGGAACTATAAACTCCACTCTGAAGGCTGGTGGAACAGGGAAAGAGACGAGACCAGAGAGAGGCTATACCACAGCTGGACTCTGATGCTATGCTCAGGGGTTAGAACTCTATCCAGTAGGTCATGTGGAGCAATAGGAGGATTTGGAAATGAGTAAATTCTGAAGAGTTTGCTAGAGTGGTCAAGGCCCCATCCTGAGCCCCTACCCTGATTTAGCTCCTTCTTTGGAACCAGGTGGATGTTGAAGCCCTGAACAACCAGGTAGAAGAGCGAAAGCTTCGAGAAGCAGACGAGTGGAACAAGGAGCAAGCTTATGGTAAAAGCCCAAGGCCAAAGGCCAGATAGGGAGTAAAGCAAGAACTGGAAGGGGCTGAGGTAGGGCAGTTCTGCTCTGAGGGGGGCCTGAGGCCCCTGGGGAGTAGGACAAGCCAATGGGCCTTGGGAGCAGAAGCCATGCTCAGTGGGCTCTGTCCTTCCTGTGTTGCCTTGTCTATGACTCTGTCCACCACCCCTCAGGTACCAGCCAAGTGCACTATGACTTGGTAGCCCAGATGTTAGAGAAGGAAGAGTCAGAACGCTCACGCCGGCTGGCTAGGAAAGTCCAGGAATATCGGGACCAGAAGCAGCAAGTCAAGACCAGTAATGAATTTGACTTTTGGGATCCAGACCAACTGTGGAAGGAGTTTCCAGGCCAGCCTGGTGACAGTGATCCCTGCTGTGGCCCATCCAGCCTACAGTGTTTCTCTGGGGAGGACCTGGACAGGGCCACATGCCTGAGAATGCAGCAGGAGCAGTTCAGGTGCAGCCTGAATAGTCAGATGCAGGAGAAACAGCAAGCCAAGGCTGAAGAGAAGTATACAGGTAAGCAGCCCGGTTTTCCAGACTCAGAGACTTGAGTTGAGGCCTAGAGGGCCACTGTCCAGAAGACCAGAACTATGTAGGGAGGTCCAATTACCCATGGGGCTCTTGCTGAAAGGTCAGCCTGTATAGGCCCCAACCTTCTTGACTTTTCTCCAGTAACTGACAGTAGTAGATGTTGTGCCCACATGAGCTTGGCACTTTCCTTACCTGGAGGCAGCATTAGTGCAGACTCAACAGCTCTGCCACTTGTGAGCTGGTGTGGCAAACAGCTCTTCCACTCTGTGAATCAGTTGCTACATCTTTAAAATGGGGATAATCACACAGGCCACACAGAACGGCTACTATTATTCCAGTACTCTCTGTGGCCACGTCCTGCCCTCCCAGTAGAGGAAGCTCTTCCAGGGCAAGGATCCTGTTCTACCTACCCACTCTTCCCTTCCATGACAGCACCCTGTTCCATTGTACGCTTACTGGGGTTGTAAGTAACTGGGAAAGTCTTTGGTTAATGTCTGCCTTCTCTCCAAAGCGTCAGCTCATCGAAGATGAGTCATTTCTCTCGTGTCTACCTCTGTACTCCGGTTGCACAGTACAGTGTCTGACAGCTCCTAGAACCACAAGAACACTGTGGCTGGAATGGAGGGAAATGTCAGTTGCTTTGTTTATGCTGTGCCCCCAACCCAGAATACCCTTTGTCCCTTTTACCTCTAGATACCATCTATTTCAAAGATCTCTTCCTTTTTGTCTCACCTACCACCCTAAGCCTTCATAATGCTCTGTGTAGGAGGAGTCTTCCAAAAGTCTGGATGAAAAAACTGCATGCATGTCAATGGTTTTGTACCAAAAGAAACATCTTGTAATTCCATTTTTTCCATGAGCTTTTTGAAGGGCTCTCATCCTTCTCTCCAGTTGTTCTTTTCAGATTGTGGTCTCAATTCTGTCTGATCTGTCTCCTCTGCTAGGCAGGGAGTTCTCTGAGGACAGGATCTAATTCTGTGGTGTCCTCAGTACCCAACGCTTCACCCCTTGGACTGAGGTTCAGAGAGGTGAAATCACTTATCCAAGGCCACAGAAGTGCCAGAGCTGGGATTGGGCCCCAAGTCCATAGGAGGCATCTTCCATTTAGGCACTTGATGCAGTTTGGGCTGTCCCTAGCCCAGAGGACAACTGCTCCTGTATCCCTACAGCTCAGACACTACCCTCTTCCCAGAAACACACATACACAAAGCTTACTGAACAAATGGCTAAGTAAGCAAACCGGGAGTGGAGCAGGCCAGTACAGTACCCCCAGCCACGTTTCTCTGTGTAGATATGCTCAGTGACCAGCTGCGCATGGCCATGGACATGCGGGCCATGCAGATGGCCAAGCTGGAGGAGTCTTGTCGCATAGCCATGATGTCTGCAATGGCCAACGCCAACAAGGCCCAGGTATGTTGGCCTGAGCCATCCAGTGCACCAGGCTCTTCCCACCCCCTGAATGAAGTCCTGGGGAACTTGTACCATGTCTGTCCCCTCACACACCAGCCCTCTCATCTACCTGAGCACCTTCCTTCACCTGAGATCCCCCATACAGCACAGGCTGCCCCTCCCCATCTCTAGACCACAAGATGACTGGAGAACAAGACTTGCCTTCTCATCTCGAGCCTCTTGGTCTAAGGGGGAAGTTCCCTAATCATCCCACCCCTCCCTTCTGAGATGAGGCTACATTCCCTCCCCCAGCCCTACCCCTACTACTGAGGCTTGCCTGAGGTTGGGCACCAAATAGTCACACTTGGAGGGCCCCTTCAGGCAGCTGAGCTGGCTGAGCGGCAGCGCCGTGAGCATCAGCAGGAACGGGAGGCCAACCTCAAGGAGATCCAGAGCCAGGTCACCAGTAACCTGCTGACTGAGAACCCGCAGGTGGCCCGAAACCCTAGGGCTCCCCACCGGGTTCTGCCTCACTGCTGGAAGGGCATGACTCCAGAGCAGCGAGTTGCCATCAGGAAGGCCCAGGGTGCACAGCGCCATGAGAAGGAAGCACAACGCCAGGCTGAACAAGCACTGAAGACTGAATGGGAAAACCAGGCCCGGCGTGTGGCCCAGGCAACACTGGAGCTAGAAGAGCAGGAGAGGATATTGTGTGCTGAGCTTCGGAGGGGACTAGGCTCCCTCAATCAGTACCTGGCTGCAGAGCAAAAAGCCCAGTGAGTTAGTTCTAGGGGGTGGTGGCAGGGACAAATGCCGAGGGAGGGTGGGGAGGGATGGCAAGAACCAGGGAGAGAGGGAAAGCCCATCAACTGAGGACCCTGGACTTCTTTCACAGGCAGAAGTATCTGAACTCAATAATCTACACCAACCAACCTATGGACCAATATTACCTACAGTTCAACACCAGCAGCCGCTGAGCTCAGAATGAGCATCTCTCCTTCCCCGCCTCATTGAGCTCACAGATGGCCAGGAGTCAAAGAAGAAAATGCTCCTTACCCTCACCCCTAACCCATTCCCCATGGGAGAGAGCTAAGCCAATACCCTCACCTTCTATCCCAGAAAATAAATTTATTCATTAAAACCAAGGCTATGTGTTGTCACAGGGTACAAAAAGTATGAGGTACTGCCTTCCCCACCCCACCCTACCCCAGGGCTCTGAACACCCAACCCTGTGAGAGACTTCACCTTTCTTCCCCTTGCCAGTCCCTAGCACACAATACTGCTCACACCCTGTGAGAAATAGACTTTATTAGGCACAGAGGGTAACTGATAAGCAGTTACAAAATGGCTCCTGGGCTTCTTCCCAAGTCGGAAAGAAGCAGCCCTGGGGAAGGAAGAGAGGCAGAGGAACTGCTTTCTTGGTCTTCTCCCTTCAAGGCTGCATGCGGATGGCCCCATCCAGCCGGATGACCTCTCCATTGAGGAATGGGTTCTCGATGATAGTCTGTGCCAGGTGAGCATACTCAGCAGGGTCCCCCAGTCGGCTGGGGAAGGGCACCTGGCTGGCCAAGAAGTTTCGCACCTTCTCCGGAAGGCTAGTCAGCAGAGGAGTGCCAAACAGACCTAGATAAGAGAGCCAGAGTCAGGGACCCATCCTTGCTTTCATATGCACCCAGTCCTTCCTCACCTTAGCCCTGTCTTGGTGCTTCCCTGGGCCCCAGAGATGGAGGCTGCTCTTGCTTAGATGGTAAACACATTCCCCACTCAATTGCCTATGGATCCCAACCAATCCCAGGTAGGGCAGGGAGAGGAGAAATGCGTACCTGGAGCAATAGTCATCACCCGGATGCCCATGGGAGCCAGATCCCGAGCAATGGGCAGCGTCATGCCCACTATGCCCCCCTTGGAAGCAGAGTATGCAGCTTGGCCAACCTGGGGAAGACATGGAAGTCACAGGTTGGGAGGGCCTCAACAGGTCACTGTAGAGGCACAACCCTTGGCCCCTGCCTACATACCTGGCCCTCAAAGGCAGCAACGCTAGCAGTGTTGATGATGACCCCACGCTGGCCTCCCTGGTCTGGTTCATTCTGGCTCATCTCACCAGCCACAAGGCGGATCACATTGAAGGTACCTATGAGATTCACCTGGAAGATGGGAAGAGAGATGATGTGTGATCCAAGGCAGAGGGAGCCTTTTACTCCCCAAAAGTCCGGGGGACACACATGGCCAGACACCTCTTAACTCCTGCCCCTAGAGAACCTCCAAGGCCTTACATTGATGACTCGCTGGAAGTCTTCCAAGCTATGAGGCAGGTTCTTCTTTAAGCTGTATGTCTTGATAGCCACTGCAATGCCTGCACAGTTAACGGCCACATCCACACGGCCAAACTTTTCTTTTGCTATAGCCAGAGCTGCTTGCACGTCCTTCTCAGAGGTCACCTTCAAAGGGAGAAATGGGGAAGGTTTGCATCTCCCAGCACAGTCTCACCTCTAAACCTAGGGGAGCAGAGGGCAGGTCCAGCCTTTGGGTGAGAACAGAATTGTATGAGCAAGGGAAAAGCCAAGAGGAAGGGTTATGGCAGAATCTGAGAGAAGAGAGCAGGACACAGGAGATAAAGCTTAGGCACTATAGAGCAGTGTTGCAATACTTTTCAAATCTGTACCCTTTTTGAGAAATCTGCATACCTCTGGAGAGTTTCAATTGCTGTGCATCAGAGCACTGATACAACTCTGTTCTCTTTTATTTTTTTTTTAATTTATTTATTTGAAAGGTAGAGTTATAGACAGTGAGAGGGAGAGACAGAAAGAGAAGTCTTCCTTCCGTTGGTTCACTCCCCTAATGGCCGCCACGGCCGGCGCTGTGCTGATCTGAAGCCAGAGGCCAGGTGCTTCTTCCGAGTCTCCGATGTGGGTACAGGAGCCCAAGGAGTTGGGCCATCTTCTACTGCTTTCCCAGGCCATAGCAGAGAGCTGGATTGGAAGAGGAGCAGCCGGGACGAGAACCGGTGCCTATATGGGATGCCATTGCCACAGGCGGAGGATTAACCTACTGTGCCACAAGGCCGGCCCCACAACTCTGTTTTCAAAATCATTGGGGACTGGCCTTGTGGTGTTAGGGGGTAAAGCTACCACCTGCAACGCCAGCATCCCACATGGACACAGGTTCGTGTCCCAGCTGCTCCACTTCCAATCTAGCTCCCTGCTAATGTGCCTGGGAAAGCAGCTGAAGGTGGCCTAAGTACTTGGGTTCCTGACACCCACATGGGAGACCTGGAAGAAGTTCCTGACGCATGGCTTCAGCCTAGCCCAGCCCTGGCTGTTGGAGCCATCTGGGGATTGAAACCATGAATGGTTTCTCTCCTTCTCTCTATAACTCTGGATTTCAAATAAATAAATCTTTAAAAAAAAAAATATTGACAGATGGCTGGTGTCCTGGCTCACTTGGCTAATCCTCCGCCTGCGGCGCCAGCACCCCAGGTTCTAGACCCGGTTGGGGCACCGGGTACTAGTTCTGGTTGCTCCTCTTCCAGTCCAGCTCTCTGCTGTGGCCCAGGAGGGCAGTGGAGGATGGCCCAAGTGCTTGGGTCCCTGCACCCACATGGGAGACCAGGAGGAAGCACCTGGCTCCTGGCTTTGGATCGTTACAGCGCCGGCCATGGCGGCCAATAGGGGAGTGAACCAACGGAAGGAAGACCTTTCTCTCTGTCTCTGTCTATAACTCTCTCTGTGTATCTCTCTCTCACTGTCTAACTATGCCTGTCAAAAAAAAAATATTGACAGGAAGAAAACATTTTTTTCATATCCCTACCTGCCAAGATGATTCATCAAGCTTTACTTTCTATAGTTTGTTTTATGAAAACAAGCCTTTCGGCTTTATAACATTACAGGGCAGCACAATATACATTTTCAAACTATGTATACCCTCTCCATGAGATTCTGATATGTCCACCTCCATCCCCATTGTTGTGAATCCTAACTTCAGAGAGCACTTATCACAGATTCTCTCACAATGCTTGAAGGCTCAGGTCCAAAGGGACAAGGCCATGGATCCCCCATTCCCATACATGACACCTTTATGGGCTGGAACCCCATGGGTCCCCAGGCCAGTTTTGGTGAGCTCATGCGCACACCCTAGGAGAGAGAGGTGACTCCACTTACATCAGCAGGGGCAAAGGTGCAGCTCTTTCCTAACTTCTTGGCCTGGGCCTCCCCATCCGAACTGGGCAGGTCCAGAAGCACAGCAGAGGCGCCCTGCCCCACCAGTCGTTCCGCCGTGGCCAGGCCCAGGCCCGAGGCGCCACCGGTTATAACAGCCACCAGACCCTGTGAAGAGAGACACCGTCAGCTTCCACACTGTCGAAAACACCCACACCCAACTTTTCACCTGTCTGTTCTCCCCGTTTCTGCGGAGAAAGGGGGCAGGGGGAAGCTCCTGGTGACCTCTGCGGTGTGACCCAGTTGGCTTCCTCTCTTCACTGGTGAAACTTCTAAAAGGAGGTCTCATCCCCAGACAGCCCGTCCTGTGACCCCACGGAATACTTGACTTCACTTCCTGAGCCCAATCGCCGTAACCCCAGGCCTAGAGAAAAACGACCCTCTCTCCCGGCACCGATATCGTCCCCTTGGTTCTATGCCCGCACCATCCAGCCCACGTAGCGGGGCACGTGGCAGAGGCAAAGAGCCGTCTACCTTCACGCTCCGACACGCCGCAGCCATGTTTCTCCAGCTTCTGTACGGTAGGCGGCAAGCGCTTGTTAATTGGCTGAGGCAAAGCCGCGGGGCGGGGCCTACGGGGCGGGACGTCCGCCGCACGGGGCGTAGGGGCGTGGCCCGCTGTTCCGGGCTGTTGGCAAGGGTACAAAGTCCGCGGAGTTTTTCCACCGGTGGAAAGGGCCCAAGAGCTGCAGCCAAAAACCACCACGTCCCCAGCCGTTTTGTCAGGCGGCCAGCTCCGCGGGGGAGGGGAGGTGAAGATTGAAAGCGAGTCCCTTTCCCCTCAGAAAAAGCCTTCATTCCAGTCTATAAATGCATCTATAGACTGTATACCCAGGGGAATAATAAAATGTTCGTCCTTCCAGAAGGGAACTGTCCAGTTGAAGAAAGACAATGACAGGACAGACAGACACAAGGGACAGGGCCAGATTCTGGAAGACACAGACAAGGAGTTCCGAAGGTGAAGGTTCCGATATGTACAGAGGCAGAGACACCAGAGAGGATCACAGAGATACAGATGTGGAGCGCCACTAAGACAGATGCTAGGAGACAGATATTCTGAGATAGAGCTGCTGAGAAGTGCAAACGGAGAGGCCAAAGCATTTTTCATCAGCTCAGCCTTTTTGCTATTCTGCTCTATTTGTGTCTCATCTATTTTAAACCCAAAAGCCTAGATCACACGTTGTAGATTGCACCTCAAGCAGCAACTATTAAATTTAAGGCCTAGGTCTTTAGTCAACCTAGAACATCTTTCAGCCAGCTGCTGAGTTAAAAATCTTGAGCCCATTCAGCACTGGTCCTTGGGGCCATTTGGGGAGTGAATCAGCATATGGCATCTCTCTCTCTCTCTCTCTTTCCCTCCCTCCCTCTCTCTCCCTTCCTCCTTCCCTCCTTCGCCGCCACACCCGCCCAGTCTCTATCACTCTGCCTTTCAAATAAATAAAATAAATCTTAATTTAAAAAATCGAGCTCAAGATTCTTATCTGTTTGCCTTTTTTGCTTTTCCCTAAAGCAAGGTCTTCAGGGCATAAATCTTGACCTGTATTTTCTTTCTTTTTTTAAAAGATTTAGTTTTTTGGCCGGTGCCGCGGCTCACTAGGCTAATCCTCCGCCTTGCGGCGCCGGCACACCGGGTTCTAGTCCCGGTTGGGGCGCCGGATTCTGTCCCGGTTGCCCCTCTTCCAGGCCAGCTCTCTGCTGTGGTCAGGGAGTGCAGTGGAGGTTGGCCCAAGTGCTTGGGCCCTGCACCCTATGGGAGACCAGGAGAAGCACCTGGCTCCTGCCTTCGGATCAGCGCGGTGCGCCGGCCGCAGCGCGCCAGCTGCGGTGGCCATGGGAGGGTGAACCAACGGCAAAGGAAGACCTTTCTCTCTGTCTCTCTCTCACTGTCCACTCTGCCTGTCAAAACACACACACACACACACACACA